AGTGGTGTAGGAGGAAGAGCTGGGTGGACCGCCTGAGTCTGAGATGTGCCCAGCAGCAGGCAGCTACAGGAGTTCAGGAGCACCCCTGGGTGTGGGAAAGGCCCCGGTGTCCCCGTGTAAGTGCTCACTGAAGCCTGAGAGCTGGTACCATGGAAGAGGAGGTCGAGGGGGTGCGGGCAACAGCTGAGTGCTGGGGAGCAGTGTTTGAGAGCCGGTGGAGAACAGGAAAGTAAGAGCTCCAGGGCTACTTGTGTATAGTTAGAGTTGGGGATGTCTGATTCGTTCATCGGCTCGCTTTATAAACACCAGTTTGTAGGAAGAGCTGGGTCCGGAGCACACCTGTTGCATTGGCAGTAGCTGCCAGCCAGGCTCTGAGAATCACACCTGCGGGTCTCTGGCAAGACCATGCAGGACCTTTCAGGTAATATTCCAGACCAAGTCGTTTCCAAGTACAGTGTTTAAAAACTGTGGTGCTGGGGGCCGGCAGATGGCGTCGTGTTAAAGGTGTTGGACTCCCACATGACTGAACATGGTCAACCACATGGTTCAAGTCCCAGACCTGGTGGCTTGCTTTTCTCACTTTCCCTCTCTCTCTTTGTCTCTGATCTAACTGGAAAATAATAATAATAAATGAAGTAAAATAAAATAAATCTAAAAAATGCAGGACTTACATTTTTCCTTTTGTGCTTTAGTCGAAGAAAAAAGGACTGAGTGCTGAAGAAAAGAGAGCCCGGATGATGGAAATCTTTTTTGAGACAGTAAGTCGTTTTCCTTAAGAATTGTAGTATTTTGTGAAATCGTCGTGTTCAGTATGTATTATCCAGTGTTACTGCACTTCTTGTTCGAGGCTAATACTGACCATCTCCTTGAAAAACAGTAAAACATTTCTGCAAACGTGTATGGTTTCTGGAGCTTTGGAAAGGCCCAATCACTCCTTTGTTGGTAGGCTCCACTATCCACATTGCCCTAGTACCTGGCACCAGAGTTATCTTTTTTATTTTCTTTACACCTTTTTGTTTTTTGGGTTTTTTGTTTGTTTGTTTGTTTGTTTGTTTTTTGGGATTTTTTTTTTTTTGAGAGGTTTTTGCTATAGGGAGCATGCGCTCACCAGAGAGACAGGAGGTGAGAAATCACCCTTGAGGGGGGATGGCCATGCCACAATCCATTCTCTCCCAGAAACCAGGATCGTGGGCACGCACGCATACGCGCCCGGCGTGAGTTTAAGCCACTGGGTCCAGGACTCAAACCGCAGTCAACTACATGAGAGTCCAGCAATATAGCCTTTATGCCACCTGCTGGTCCCTATTTTCTTTACATCTTTTTTGCCATAGGGCACATGCACTGGCTAGAGAGAGACAGAGAGGGAAAGTGAGAAATCATTCCGTGATGGGGGTGGCCATGCCAATACCGTCTCCTCCAGTCTCCTCTTGGGATATTGGGCATGCATGTACATGAGACCAGCGTGTTTATCAGGCCCCTGAGTCCAGGACTTGAACCGCAGAGTCAGCCACGTGGGATCCAACGCCTTAGCCACCACGCCACATGCTGGCCCAAGTTACCTTTTGAAGCATATTTTTGATCCTGTCCCCCAGTGCCTGGCAAGAATGGGAATGGCCCACATCTGCTGAGGGCCGCCCAGATGGCATCTCTGGTCCACGCACTTGACACAGATGGTCTCAGTGCCCGCCTCCGCCAGCCCTGTGGGTGGGCACGATGGTGTCACCCTCATCTGACACATGGGCACACCTCGGCACCGCGTGCCTGAGAAACCAGCCCTGCATGTCAGAGCAGAAGTGGTGGCGGCAGGGCTCGAACCACGGAGAGCGTTCACGTTAGGAGTCTGGAGAGCGACGTGTGCTGATACATGGTGGCCCACCAGCCTCAGTTTACTCCCCTGTGGTCGTCCTGCCACCAGTAGGAATACGTCTCGTCTCCTGAGTAACAGAGCCCGAGTTCACACCCCGGCACCTGGCCCCACACCCACTCACCTCACCGTTTTGCTGCACGGTGGTTTTTCCTCCCCTCGGGTCAGAGCCCACACAGACCTTTGATCCCCAAATAATCTTGCGTTGGCAGAACCTTCAAAGCCTAGTCGGCCCCAACTTACTAGCTATTTCCATCCTTAGATGTGAAGATGATGAGAAAAAAATAAGTAGAATATTAACTTGATAAAATCCCTTTCATTTTGATAAGACAAATTCTTAGTAAACCGACAAAAAATTTCTGGAGATGTTTTTAACCATTTACCCTCTAATTGTAGTTTTACTGTTCCTAACGTCATGATAATTTTTTAAAGAGGTTTTTGCTATAGGGCTTGTGGGCTAGCCAGAAAGACAGAGACAGAAAGGGAGGAATCACCCCCCAGGGGGGATGGCTACGCTGCAATCCCTTCTCCTCCATTCTCCTCTCGGGATCTTGGGCACGCACGCACACGCGCCTGGTGGGAGTTTAAGCCCCCAGGTACGGGACTTGAACCGTGGTGAAATACATGGGAGTCCAGCCACATAGCCATTACGCTAACTGCTGGTCCCATATCATGATGATTCTGAGCAGGGCACCATATTAGTAATGATGATGAGAATTAGAACAATCTGTCTGCTGGGTTACAGTATTTGCCTTGGGTTCTCAGAGCAAGAAAAGGACAGTCCGTTCTACCAGGCAGTGGAAAGCTGGGGAAAGTGGTCAGAGAAATTATTTTGTCCTTGACAATATTGTTCATTGTTTTAGACATGAAAACTGAGGGTTTCTGATTGACAATTTTCAACTCTGGGCTCAGTCATTCTAGGCTGAGATCGTGAATATTAACAGCTTTAAAACGTTCAGTCACTGGGACCAGCAGACGGCGTACTGGCCACGTTGTCGTACTCCCGTGTAGTCCACTGCCATTTGAGCCCAGGACCCAGCGGCTTAAAACCCATGCTGGGCGCACGTGAGTGCGTGTCCAGGATCCCAAGAGAAGGATGGGGAGAAAGGATTAAGGCGTGGCGTTCCTGCCTGGGGTGGTATCTCACTTTCTGTCTCTCTGTCTCTCCGGCAAAGTGTATATGCCCTATAGCAAAAAATGTTTCTTTAAAAAACAAAAACAAAAACCAAAAACCAAGTTCAGTGATCGGTGAGTTTTCTGTGAAGTTAGCGGTTAACTTTACTACCTGATGGGTTTCAGTTTGTGTATCCCTGTGCCCTTTGCCACACTGCAGCCTGGTCGGGGGCTGCTCGTTATTTAGTCTGTCAGGTTCGGATGGAATTGAAGCAGACTCAGGAAAGGCAGGATCGTTTCACTTACTCTCTGAATGGGGTATGTCCCCAGGCCTAGGGCTGGTGTGGAAAGTTGGTCACTGTCAGACATAAACCGCCTGCCGTCCAGAGCACATCAACCCTTGGTTCAGAGCGAAAGGCATGGATTCCGGGATTCAGGCTCTGGGTCTGGATTCTGTTTCCATTGCTGTAATTGGCAAGTAAACATTGCAACAGAAGTAGGCCGAGCCACAGTGGTGACACTGCCGAGACCTTGCCCTGCAGCCTGGGGCCCTGCGGGAAGCCGGGTTTGGATTCTGGTCCAACCCGGAGGCCAGAGGCATGTGTCTGTCATTTTAGCAACTCTGGGAGCCTGAGGCAGGAGGACTGAGCTGGGGCTGTTCTGGACAACATAGTGAGACCTGTCCAAAAAGAGCTGGCCGATGGTGGCACAGGCCTGTCGTCCAAGCTTGGAGACTGAGGCAGGAGGACTGCTGCATGGCAAAGCCCTGTCACGTACATGCCTAACATCAGTTCATACATAGCCACTTCAGGGTGGCACAGAACTTCGCTGTGTGCAGATGTGAATAGTAGCAGCCCCCGCCTTTTTTTTTTTTTTAAGATAGGGTTTTGCTGCAGTACCCAAGCCAGCCTTGAACTTAAAATCCTTCTGCTTCAGCTGGGGTTACAGAGCACCTGGCTATATAGTCCCCTTTTTTTCTTTCTTTTTTTTAAGAATTATTTTATTGGGAACCAGCAGTTAGCGTAGTGGCTATGTTGCTGGACTCCCACGTAGTCGACCATGGTTTGCGTCCCGGACCCGGTGGCTTAAAACTCACACCAGGCGCGTGTGCGTGCGTGCCCAAGATCCAAAAAAGAATTATTTTATTTAATTTAATTAATAATAATAATTATTATTATTTTCCAGTTTGACCAGACAGAGAGGGAAAGCGAGAAAGCAAGCCACCAGGTCCAAGGTTCGAACCGTGGTCCAGCACCCTTAACCACCATGCCACCTGCCAGCCCCTGTAGTTCATTTTTAAAAACTGATGTCATGGGAAAGTATTCGTGTTGTAACTTTCAGGTGAACATGCAGAATATATTGGGCCAGATGATGACATGGGTTCAGGTGGCTCGATCTCACATGGCCAACTGCACGGTTCGAGTCCTGGGCCCAGCAGTGTGAACAGTGCACCAGGCAGTGTGCGCATGCCCGAAGTCCCAGAGGAGGGAGAGACGGAGGAGAATGGATTGCAGCATGACCATCCCATGGGGGTGCTTTCACACTTTTTTTCTCACACTCTGTCTCTCTTCAGTGAGAGCATGTGCCCTCTAGCAAATTTTAAGAAAAGGAAACATAGAGACCAGCAGGTTGTGTGGTAGTTAAGGGTGCTAGACTCCCACATGGTCGACTGTGGTTCAAGTCCTAGACCTGGTGGCTTGCTTTCTCACTTTCTCTCTCTCACACACTCTCACTCTCTCTTACTCTGTCCCTTTCTGGTCAAAATGAAAATAAATAAGTTAAATAAAATAATTCCTTTTATTTTTTGGAGAGGTTTTTGCTATAGAGCATGTGTGCTTGCCAGAAAGAGAGAGACAGAAGCGAGAAATCATCCCCCAGGGGGGATGGTCACACTGTAATCCCTTCCCCTCCTGTCTCGTTTTGGGATCTTGGGCACGCACGCACACGCACCCAGCGTGAGTTTAAGCCACTGGGTCCGGGACTTGAACTGCAGTCTACTACATGGGAGTCCAGAGACATAGCCATTACACTAACTGCTGGTTCCATAAAATAAATCTTTAAAAAAAAAAAAAAGCAAAGAAAATACATTAAGGCACTGGATCCCGCATAGCCAATTTTGCAGTTCAAGTCCTGGGTCTGGCAGCTTACAAAAACAATGGACACGTGTGTGCACTTGCCCCAGTCCTGAGGAGAATGCCGAAGGGCTTGCAGCATGGCCATCCCTCTGGGAAGTAGCTCCTCACTCTCCCTGTCCCTCTCTGATGAGCACACACGCCCTATGGCAAAAGTCTTTAAAGAAAAGCAAAAGAAAATGCAGACTACGAAACTCTGTGATGTGCTGCGATCACGAACACCGACAGGGGTAAGCTCCAAGTGGATTCGTCCTCGTTCTGTCTTGTTCCGATCCCACGGTGGACTTTGAATCGAGTTAGAGCACAGACGAGGCGCTGCCTCCCGTGGTGGGTGGTGCCGTGATCAGGCACGGCCACGGGAGCTTTCGAACCCCTGTCCGAAGCAGCCTGGCAGTCGCACAGCTCACTGAGGGAGGAGCTGCAGGGGCTGTTGGAAGCACAATAGGCCACCAATAAACGCGGGTTTTTCTAAAAGGTACCTCGCAGAGACTTACGTGAGTAGCACAGCGGTGTCTGGGATGACTGCCCAGAGATACTTACACACCGTGAAAGTGGAGAGGGACAGGGACGGGGTCAGACGGCGGCGTGTGGGGGGAGCTGCTCGTGCGTGGAAAGCACTCTCTGTCCTTCGACTTGGAAGAGCAGGGGAACCGTGTGGCTCAGTGACAACAGGCAGCTAGTCTTCCCCCAGTAACGATCTTTTTTTCAGAATTATTTTATTTAACTTTATTTATTATTAATATCATTATTATTTTTCAGTTTGATCAGAGAGAGACAGAGAGAGAGAGAGAGGAAGTGAGAAAGCAAGCCACCAGGTCCGAGACTTGAACCGTGGTCGGCCATGTGGGAGTCCAGCGCCTTTAACCACCACGCCACTTGCCGGCCCCTCTCCCAGTAACGTTTTGACCTTAAGCAACTTATCTGACCTTCCTGTAACTCACTTTCTCCTTTTTTCAGTTTTGCAGTGGGGTGTGCGTGCTCAGCTGAGAGAGAGAGAGAGAGAGGGAAAGTGAGGAACACCCTGCAAGGGGGCTGGCCACGCTGCAGGCCCTTCTCCTTCATCCTACTCTCAGGATTCTGGGCTTGTGCACAGGCATGCTCTGTTTTTCAAGCTGCTGGGTCTAGGACTGTGGAGTCAGCTCTATGGGTTCCACACCACCACTGGCCCTCACTTTTCTTCACCTTTAGAGAGGCGGATAAAGAATACTGCCCAGCTCACTGTGTAGGTATGGAGATTGAGAGATTCACTGTATAAACTTCACTGTAAAACAGGACACTGCACAGCCCGTAAGAGCTTCATCCAGTGTTCTCTAGTGGTTGTAGCACAGCATCCTGGTAGCAGGACTGTGTCCCCCTAGGATCTTACACATGGGTTTTTTAAAGCTAGAACCATTGCTTAGAACCATTAGTAGTTCTGCCTAGTTTTAGGAGTCTAAGAGCTACCATTTACACATGTTCATTTGCTCCGTTCACTGAAATGACCACCCTTTTTTTTTTTTTTTTGTGAGAGGTTTTTGCTGTAGGGCGCGTGCGCTCGCCAGACAGACAGAGACAGAGAAACAGAAAGCAAGAAATCGATCACCCCCCGGGGGGGATGACCACGCTGCAGTCCCTTCTCCTCCCGGGATCTTGGGCACACACGCACACGCACCCAGCATGAGTTTAAGCCACCGGGTCTGGGACTCGAACCACGGTCAACTACATGGGAGTCGAGCAACATAGCCATTACGCTAACTGCTGGTCCCTGAAATGACCACCTTTGAGCTCAGAGGCTAGTTCTTTTGTTTGTTTGTTTGTTTGTTTTCCTTGAGTTTTTTACTATAGGGCTGTGCGCTCACCAGAAAAACAGAGAGAGACAGAAAGTGAGACATCCGTCCCCAGGGGAAATGGCCACGCCGCAGTCCCTTCTTCTCCATTCTCCTCTCGGGATCTTAGGCACATGTCCCGACCCGGGGGGACAGCCGAACGGGTTTCCTGAGTGAAGGAGTGAGAGCCAGGGCAAGCAGCGTAGTGTTACAGCACGGAGACGACAGTGTCGTCTGTTTATTGTGGGCAGCACGGTACAGCACAGAGACGACGCAGTGTCACAGCTCTTAAGGGTCATGTCGTCTACTGTGGGCAGCACGGAGACGACGTGGTATCACAGCTCTTCAGGGTCGTCC